AAGACTGGGTTGTTTCTAGAGTGTTAATTTTGTGTCTCAGTAGTTCTCACTTGAGATGAAATTATGAAGTAAGTAGAGTGCTCTTTAGATTTGTTATTACTAATATTATTTTTGTCATACTATATTGTCCAGACTGACCCAGAACTGGCTTAAACAACAGGCACACACTGCTGTGCTCTTCTGTCTTTGGATCTTTTTTGGTTTGTGTGTTATAGAGGACTAAACCTAGGGCCTTAGGATGCCTAGGCAAGCACTGTATTACTGAGTTAAAACCCCCAGCCCTTGAATTAAAAAAAAAAAAAAAAAATTGAGAGGTGGTTTTCCAGCCCTTGAACTCTTTTATGTAGCCCAAGTATGCCTCAAGTATTTAGGATTACAGGCATAGATCTTCCAGGGACTTGAGACTTGGGTTAGTATGGAAATGAATCTTAACAGAGAAGTGAGAAATACTATAATTAGTCTGACTGAATTTCAGAAGGTGGAAACTCATGAGGGTTGGGTTGGAAGGTGGAAGTTTGGCCTCTGGTATGAGCATTCTTCCTAATATAAATGGAGTCTTAGAAAAACTTTTCACGGAATATGTTTCTTTGAGATTTAGAAGCAGAATGGTAATTCTCTCTCTCTCTCTCTCTCTCTCTCTCTCTCTCTCTCTCTGTGTGTGTGTGTGTGTGTGTGTATGTGTGTGTGTATGTGTTTGAACAGGAACGTTGAGTTGTGAGTTTTGGACACATCCTTTTCTTGACAAAAGCTATGTCACACAGTGCTGAAGTGTTATAGGTGCTTGCTCTGTGTTACTGATTGGTGTTCAGTAAGAGGCTTAGTGCTTTAAAAAAATTATTTTATAGCCCAGAAGACATGGAAATGGAGTTTTCTTTGAGGGAGAACATATATTTGCATTAGTTTTGATTTATAATGCACTAACAGGAAGAGAGGAGGAGACTTTGGGACTGGTTACAGAAGATTGTAACCCCTTCCCCTGAAGATTGAAGCTTAGAGAGCTCTTCAACTCAGGGAAACTTGGGGTTTCTTCCAGAGTGCTCACCGAAGTCTGGCCATGTATGGCTGTATCTACCTGAGCTTCATGGAAGGGTATATGTGTGGGGATGTGGGTGTTGGGGGTGTGATGGGTGTAGTCATTAAACGGAGCTCTGGAAGATAATGGAAATTGATACTTAAACAGGGGTAGTACTCCCAGTGTTCCTAGAAATTTTTTCTTTTTATTTATTTATTTATTTACTTATTTATTTTTTGTGGCAGAAGTAGGGATTGGATCCTAGATCTTTTGATGTCAAGGATTTCATTTAATCTTTGCCATTAAGAAAGTAAAGAATTTGGCCGGGTGTTGGTGGCACATGCCTTTAATCCCAGTACCTGGGAGGCAGAGGCAGGTGGATCTCTGTGAGTTCAAGGCCAATCTGGTCTACTGAGCGAGTGCCAGGACAGTCTCCAAAACAATACAAAGCAATCCTGTCTCCAAAAAAAAGAAAGAAAGAAAGAAAGAAAGAAAGAAAGAAAAAATTCTAGAGGAGTGATGGGAGCAAGGAAGGCATGTGGTTTCTCACATTGACATACTCCTAGTTTCTTGTGTTCAAACTGTAGTAATTGCTACAGTTACATTGCCAGTGACTTCCCTTATGTTCAGACTTTTTCTAAGCACTTAACATGGATTGTTTCATTTAGTTCTCATAACTACCCTTATGTGTTTTTAGTTTTCCATCTTACAGAGAAGAAAACTGAGGTTTAGTGGCAAAGTAGCACTTTGCTTAGTATTGTGTAAATGTTGGGATCTGGGATTTGAATGCAGTCAAGATCTAAAAGTCCACATTCTTTGATGATGATGATTGGTGCTAGCAATTCTCCTGCCTCAGCCTCCTAGTGCTGGGTTTTAGATGTGAATCACTATGCCCAAATTATATCCCTATAAAATGTTTTTAATTATACTAATTTATTTGTGTCTGGGAACATGAGTACTGTAACTCCTCTGAGGAGGTCAGACAACACCTTGTAGGAGCAGGTTTCTCTTTCTACCATGTCCCAGGAATCCAACTCAGGTCGTCAGGCTTGGTGCACAAAAGTCTTATCCCACGAACCATCTCACTGGCCCCTAAATAGATTTCTCTAGCCAGTTTATAGTAGAACAAATCATTCCAGGGACTATGCTATCAGTGACTGGTATTATTGCTCTGCTATTTGGTTAATACTGTCCAATTCTTTGGTCCTTCTGGACACTTGATTTAATTTACTTTGAAGTTCTGACAAAAAGAAACTGACTTTTTATCATTGTCATTGCTTGAATGAGTAAGCTATAGACCTGGAAGTTCTTTCTAGAATTGGTGGATTCCCTCCAGTAAAGACCTATGGCTTGTTAAAAGTAAACACAGCTATTCTCATAAAACATAATCTTAGGAGAATCACAAGGTTAAACACTCCCTTGATGATCCTTTTTTGGTGAAAGTGTCTGTTTGACAACATTAATTGGTGAACCTGGAAAGACTTCGAGGACTTTTCTTGATGTCAGCCAGAGTTAGTCAGTGGTTTGCAAACTCTGGTCTGTAATACAGTCTTTTTATGGTATGTGGCAGAAAGAGGGATACATCAAGTTATGAGACTTTCTGCTATTGCTTGTCATGGCTGCAGCTTCCCATGTGTGCTTTCCTTTTTTTTCTCTTTCCCCATAATGGGTAAAAAGAAAGTTCTCAAAGTATAGGTCAGAGGGCCTTGGTCCATCCATCCATTTATTCTTTTTTGTTTGTTTCTGAAAAAGGGTCTTGTTTTGTAGCCCCAGGCTGGGCTTGAACCTTCAACCTTTTGTTGAACCTCATAGGTATTTGCCAGTATGACTGCTTGGACTTGTGTTTGGCCAAGACAATGGCATAGAAGACAATGTAGGCTTTAACAATATTCTAGACTGAGGTTTAAATTCTAAATTTGCTATGAACTCTAGGAACTTTGTTAATTTTTTCACCTATGAGTCTGTTTTCACATTTGCAGTAAAACTTAACTTCCTTATGGTTTCTGTGATTGCTAGGGCAATAACTGTAAGCCATTTAGTCACTGCTAATTTTTACATACATGTTCTCTTTGTCTGAGGTAACAAACTTGTAAGGCCCTGAGAAGGAAATAAGAATGAATGTAATAGATTTGTACTACTACAGGGACAGTCAGGTACTAGAAAAACACCTTCTGTCCTTGAAACAATGGTTTAGTTGGGACCTCCTAGTATATAGAGCTGGAGTAGAGAAACTAGCTCATCTACTCTGTAGAATCCAGTTGTGTTCTTGATCCGATTAATTTCATCTACTACTTCACAAAATAGTTTGGGGCTGAGACATTACCATGAAGTAATGTAATTGGAAGATTGAAACTAACTCTTGAAACAACTTAATACCTCACCTTGTAGAACACACTATCTCACTCAATCTTCACAGCAGCTTTGACTTAGAATGTTCTGTCGACACCACACAGATGAGAATAACTATCACACAAGCCAGGACTAGGACCAGTCTTGTGAGTTGTATCCTGTTTCACACAGCCACTACTTCCCTCTCTGAAGCAGAAAATCTATCCGTGTATAAAGACCTAGGAATTCGACCTCTTTTTCTACTTAACTGTACTTTCCTCTCAGTCATTTGGTCAGCTTTAAAGCCAGGATGCTGGAGAAGTTGGTGTTTCTCCAGACCCTGCTTTGTGACTTAGATCCCTCAGTGTTTTCCCTAACTTTCTTTCTAACTCCCTGTATCAAATTAAAGTTCTGGGGGCAAAAAGTGACCATTTAAGGCATGGTGACAAACAATGTCTCTCGGTAGCAGGGAGTGTTGTTTCTGTGTGCCCCATAGTAGTGGTTGCCTGGGCTTTTATTAGCAAGAAGATTACAGGGTGGAGGCTGCCACAGTGGTGACTGCAGTACATGCCCTGTTTAAAGAGTCTCTCTTGAGCAGGCTTCTCTTGATGTGGAAGGGCCATAGGTCACTGTACATAGTAGACGAGGACAAGTGTTTAGAATGAACAGGGATGAAAAGGGAACAATTAAAACAAACCAGGAATGGTGATACATTCTTATACCCCAGTACTTGGGAAGTAGAGACAGGAGGACCAGGAATTCAAGGCCAGTTTCAGCTTTATAGTGAGTTTGAGGCCAGCCTGGGAGACTGTCACAAAAAAAAAAAAAAAAAAGAAGAAAAGAAAAAGAAAAAAGAGTACTTATTAAAGAAAGACATTTGAGTGGCCTGTTGGAATGTGGGGTAGGAGTATGAGAAAGTGACATTGGGCTTTGGGCCGAATGAAAACAGTAGTTGATAAGTGATTGTGGGAGCCCAAGGCTGGGTAGGAGGGATTTAGGGACAGTTCGGCATGTTCTCTATTTAATGACTGAATTCATTCAGTTTACTGGGCACCTGTTTATCAGTTTCCTCTGGGTGCTCTTGCTTGCTGAGTGCTGGATACATTCTAAGGCAAAACAGGTCCAAGCTTTTGTGTTTGGTGGGGCTCTGGGGAGCGTGGGAAAGAGAGCCTAAGCAGAAGGCCCAGCCTAGGCTAGTCTCCACATGTCTTCCCTACCATGACTATTGCATTGGTTTCTCAATGTCTTTGTGGGCATGCTGGGACTGGGCTTCGAGGTTTCTGCCTTAAGGGTGGGAAGGAGGGGGAAGGGCATTCCACTAACAAATTTCACCCCCAAATTGGTTTCCTGGAACAGAAGATATGTGGAGTTTTATCTACATTATAACCTGGTCCGGTTCGTCATGAAATTAAAAACAGAGTCACTCACTCTAGGTGGTGACAGTACAATTTTGTGCTTTAATTAATCCTACACCCAAGGTCCAGATATCTGAACACAGCAAAGTTTAAAGGGTATTTGTTACATTAAGCAATTCCAAATCCTATCTTAAATAACTCCCTGTCATTTCTAATACTTCCCCTTTCCCATCTTGTATTTATGCATTGGATATAGTTTATTTTCTTCCCATTCTCATTTTCCCTTATTTCACATATTTCTGCAGCTCTCTCCTTCCTGCTTGCTGCTTTCTGAGGTGGCTGGGATGCTTCCATGATTTATGTGAATCTAGCCTGGGCTGTTCTCTGTGCTAAACCAATCAATTACGACCCTTCTCTTAACAGGTGTGTATGGAATATGTTTGTTAAGAATTAAAAATAATTTTAGGTACCTTCTTTCCCTTAGGAGATTGGTGAAAGGATAGGGAATACAGGAGGGAAAATATCCTCCTAGTTTGCCATTCAGCAATATATATTATATTTATTATTTTGTTTTGAGACCGGGTCTTTATGTAGTCCTGGCTATCCGGGATTTCCATATGTAGGCCAGGTTGGCTTCAAATTCATAGAGATCCATCTGCTTCTGCCTCCCAGGTGATGGGATTAAAGCCCTGAGCCACCACACCTGGCCACAAAAACTTTTTGAGACAACATTTTGCTAAATTCCCCAAGATGGCTGGCCACAAATTTCTGTAGCCCAGTCAGGCCTTGAGGTTGTGAGGTTGTGATCTTCTGCCTTCTGAAAAGTTAGGTTCAGGTGCACCACAGACAGGGCTAGAGGCAAAGCATTTTTATGCACTGTTTTGTGGGTTTTGTCACTGTGTTCTTTCAATTAATATATTGCCCTCTAGTTTTGAAAAAAAAAAAAAAAACCTCTTCATAAATATATGAAATGTGGTGGAGGCCTTTTGTCTTTCAACTTTGGGAAAGTTTTTTTTTAATCCCTCTGGAGATGGGGTTTCTCTGTACCTTGTTTGCCCTGGAACTCACTCTTAAACTCACAGAGATCCTCCTGCCTCTGCCTTCTGAGTGCTGGGTGTGCACCACCACTACCCAGCATATTTTCATTTCTTAACTGATATTAATTTACTATAGTTCATCATTCCACTGCGTTTATAGTGTTTAGGTTTTGGGAGAGGATAAGTAAAATCTGCTGTCCCATTATCTCTAGGAGCTTGTCCCTGCACGACAGTAACTGCTTACCTGTACCAGGGAGTTGAAACTTTGATTAAACGAAGCCTACATTCCCCGCCCCCCCAAGGAAAAAAAATTAATTTTAATCCTATGCCATTGTTTCCTTGTCCTGGTAACAGTATAGAGACTTTGATCATGCTGCCACCTTTTCTTTCAATAGGCGTTCACAGTAGAGTGTAGAAAAGGGTAGTAGGCAAAGGATTGTTTTTGAGAAGACATTGGTGATGGGTTCCCAGCTTGGTTGATGGTGTCTTGCTTTCTGCACTGCAGTAAAACTACAGAGGGCATCTTTGGCACTGGGGATTAACAATTCATCTGTCTTCTCTGACCTGTGATCTTTTCTCTTCTCTCTTTCTTACCGCCCCTCCCTAGTGTGCAGTGAGGGGTCCTACTCCCTCCTTTCTACTCCCTCTGTGGTCCACCTTACTTTTTATCCTGCTTCTCGGCGGCTCCTCCCCTAACCTTCATGGACGACTCAGAGGTGGAGTCGACCGCCAGCATCTTGGCCTCTGTGAAGGAACAAGAGGCCCAGTTTGAGAAGCTGACCCGGGCGCTAGAGGAGGAACGGCGCCATGTCTCGGCGCAACTGGAACGCGTCCGGGTCTCACCACAAGATGCCAACCCACTCATGGCCAACGGCACCCTCACCCGTCGGCATCAGGTAACCCTCTCCCCATCAGACCTGCAGGTAGGACTTTGGCACTGTCGTAAGAGAGGCCTATGGATCCTTAATGCGATGCTACTGGCCCTGGGCTGTCCAGTGCGTACATTTCATGATGAACTGTTCCAGGAATATGATAAACACTGATTAAGAGATAAGAAGTTTGTTGCTGATCTGAGTTGGGTGGACTTTAGTAACCAGTGAGACTTCCTGTTTTGCTAGAGTGGGTTTTCTGGGCAGGGATTTGGAGCTACATTCACTTCTGTTTTCTTTGAGGTATCCTTTTTCTTAGGGTCAAAAATTAGGAAAGAATGTCTACTTAGTGGTTGGGGAAGTTGGGCAGCTTGAGTTCTTACCTCCAGTTCAGTCTTATCCAGGGAACAGTTTGTTCTCAGAAAGCATTTTAGAGTTGGTAAATTGTATATTCCTGTTCCATATTGTCCTCGTGTGCTTTTGTTGGGTGTGTAAATCATGTTTTGGAAGGAAGGGTCATTGTTAATCTTTACTGGTTGGAGTTGGAGAGGGAATATTATGCTGTTATTTAACCCAGATAACCACAGGAGCCTGTGGTGGTCTCTGAGTTGGCTGAGTCTGTATGGACTTGGGAGGGCTGGTGTTAGAAATGAGAAGTATATTGTGTTTTCTATGGTTTATGTCTAACTTTACTGTGATGTAGTCTGAGGTTTTGTGTGTGTGTGTGTGTGTGTGTGTGTGAGAGAGAGAGAGAGAGAGAGAGAGCGAGAGAGAGAGAGAGAGAGAGAGAGCGAGAGAGAGAGAGAGAGAGAGAGAGCGAGAGAGAGAGAGAGAGAGAGAGAGAGAGAGAGAGAGAGAGAGACACGCATACATGAGCTCATGCTCAAGCACTTAGTAGACTGCCTCTGAAGAGGTCTCTAAGTATAATTAGAGTAATGCTTATGCTCAGCTCTTTTAACTGCTTATTTTATTTATTTTTTGTTTATTTTGTAGTGATAGGGGTTGACCCTAGAGCCTTGAACATGCTAGGCAAGTGTAAGTGCTCTGTCACAGAACTGTATCCTGAACTATTTATTTACTAATGTATGAGGAGGTGGGGATGGAACCCAGGGGTCTTGTGCATGCTAGGCAGATACTTGGCCACTAAGCAACATTTTAGACCTTTGAAATTCTGAAGACAAGATATTGGTATGAAGCTCAGGTTGACCTCAAACTTGTGATCCTCTTGCCTCTGCCTTGATCGTGCTAGGATTACAGTCATGTCCAGCTGCTTGTTTAACCCTTAAACTATCGGGCATGATTTGAATGGGCAATAATCAGGGTTTTAAAAGAGACTGTGTTTGCACTGTTCAGGGAATCTTACAGGGATTGAGTAGAGAGATAGGGAGAAGATAAACTAAAGGAAAGTGGACTACTCAGACTTTATAGGTGGTGGGGAATCCCAGGATTTAGTGGTTTCTCTCTTGTTCTTTTATTTTTAACCTCTGCTCAGCAATGAAACCACACCCGTCTTCCTTCCTGAAAGCAATGTTTAACTTCCTCCCTCTGCAGTATTATACTCTCTGTAAAGGGGGAATGGGTGGAGGAAGAATCCCCAGAGGTTGTTGGGTCTTACTGTCTTCTACTGGGGAAGGAGCAAGAAATGTGCTTTTATGTATATAGTGTCATTAGGCTATGTCTTGGCACTTAAGATAGGGCAATTTAAGAACATTCTGTGGCTGTAAATTGATAAATATATTAAGATTTTTCTTGAAAGGGATTGCTGAGTACTTGTCTTCGTATTTGGAAATGGAGAATTAACTCTTCTTTCTTTAAAAGGCTTTCTGGAATAGGAGTTTCCCATGGTAGCAGAGCATGAAAATTCCTAAAACTTAATAAAGAAGGCTTTTTTTTTTTTTTTTTTTTTTTTTTTTTGAGGGGTCCCCCCCCCCCCCCCCCCCGTTAGCTTTTTTGACTTTCCTTATATTCTTAGGGCTTTCCAAGAAGGTTGTATGTGGGGGGTTCTGTGCTATTTATTTTAGCAAATGGCTTTTGAATGCTACTCATGTGGCAAGCACTGTTTCAATAGGGATACATCCTTAATACTACTGACCTCAAACCCTGTGTTCTCATGGAAATTAACATTCTATGTTCCAGAGGCTCTTGTCTGCCAGAATTTTAGGCCTGATTTCAATGTTGAGGAAAGTGGTAACTTAACATTAAGGAATGCTATGGGTCTTTTATGAAGACTGACATGGGATTTCAGGACACAAACACCTTCTTGAAAGCCCTTTTTTTCTGTTTGGAAAGAAAGATGTTTGTGTTTGAAAGAACAAAGGAAGGCCAGAAAATGAATTGTCTTGTGGGCTATGTTTCAGAACGGCCGGTTTATGGGCGATGCTGACCTTGAGAGACAGAAATTTTCAGATTTGAAACTCAACGGACCACAGGTAATTGTTTTGACTCAAGGTCTGTATGACTTCATATCTTTTTACTTCTTCAGTCTTTCTTTAATTTAGGAAAGTAAAAGGGTGCCTTCCAAATTATATAGTTTTGTTGATTTAAAAAAAAAATCAATGGCTTTTATCATGCTACTCCTGTCTCTTCATTTGATCCTCTGGTATTACAGTTTTTTTTTTTTTTTTTTTTTTTGTCGGGGAGAGGGGGCATAATTCTACGTTATAGAAAACCTTACCTAAAATCTTGACTGGGTAGTATCTGAAAGGTTCAGGCATTATGCTGGCCTGCCCCTGTTACCTGGTGGAACAGGCAGTACCCTGGTCAGCCCAAGGTTCCATGGGAACTAAGTTTGCATGGGAACTAAGTCTGCAGGTGCAGAGGACCCCTTTAAAAGATAAGTCCCTGCCCCCTTTACGTGCTCTGTGCTCTCTGTTCCCTCGTTCCCTCTCTCTTTTCCCCCGCTCTACTCTGTCTCCCACCTATGCTCTCGCTCTGTCTCTCTATGGCCACCGGCCGTGGCGGGCCGCCATTTACCCTGTTCCTCTTCTTAGTCTCCCCATTCTGCCGGGCCTTATAATAAACTTATAGCCTTATGTCTCATGTCTCAGCATTTCTCTTTTCTTCTTTTTAAACAAAGGAATAACAGTATCTGATGAATAACATGAAACTCTTGCTGGGCCTGGTGTATTAGTTTATTTTTATTTTTATTTTTCGAGACAGAGTTTCTCTGTGGCTTTGGAGGCTGTCCTGGAACTAGCTCTTGTAGACCAGGCTGGTCTGGAACTCACAGAGATCCGCCTGCCTCTGCCTCCCTTGAGTGCTGGGATTAAAGGTGTGTACCACCAACGCCCAGCTAGTTTTTTTTTTTTTTTTTTTAAATCTTGAAAGATTTTTATTCTTGAAGCATTACTCAGATGTCGAGGTAACAGTTAACACAGTTTATATTCAAGTAGGTGACCAGAATGGGAAGATAAATCTACTGTTTTTGCCACTAGAATGCCAGCGTGGTTTTAGTTACCTCTTTGGTTTTTTGGGATAGGGTTTCTCTGTGAATCCTGGCTGTCCTGAAACTTGTTCTGTAGACCAGGCTGGCCTCTAACTCACAAGAAAACTGCCTGCCTCTGCCTCCCTTGAGTGCTAGGATTAAAGGCGTGTGCCACCAATGCCTAGCCTAGACCTGTTTTTATATCAGGGAAATTCTATTTACTGTCCTTTACACAAGTTATTTATTTATTGAGATAGTCTCTCACTAGGTAGTCCTGGCTGGCTTTGAATTTGCAATTTAAATTAGGCTAGCCTGGAATGCTCAAATATGTCTGCCTCTTGAGTTCTGGGAATGAAGGTGTGCACTACCATGCCCTGCCATTTTACAAGTTTAAAAGATGACAACCACTCTTGCTAAAACTGAGGCTAGTTGGATTTGCCTGAAGACTTCTTGTCTCTAGAGGCATTAATGTTTCTTATTAGGATGGATCATTACTGCATAGTTCTAGTTGTGGCTTTACTCTTTTTCTCTCTCATAGGATCACAACCACCTTCTGTATAGCACTATCCCCAGGATGCAGGAGCCAGGGCAGATTGTGGAAACCTACACAGAGGAGGACCCTGAAGGAGCCATGTCTGTTGTTTCTGTGGAGACCTCAGATGATGGGACCACTAGGCGTACAGAGACCACAGTGAGCTGAAATTTTCATGTCTTAGAGTGATAGGTCCTCTGTGATCTTTTAGTAGTGAGGTTAACCAGGTAGATGGGTGCAGGTCACTGATTGCCAGAAAGAAAATGATCACTGGGCAAACAGAAAAGGTAAAACAAATGTAGGAAAATGTAATGGAAGGGGGAAGAGAAGGGAGTATGACAACTATAATAGTTGCCCAAGAGTCTGTTACTGACAGAGTTTTCTCACTTAAGGGCTTTTGTGGGATGGAAAAAGGTATTGATAACACACATGAGACGTTTCTAGGTAAAGATCTAGAAGGTAGGGTTTCTTTCTTTTCTTAGAGTAGTGTGGAATTTAAACTTAGATTCTTTATTTCCTTCAATAATTGCTTTTCATTTTCTCATTCATTCCTTAACTGAAGGTCAAGAAAGTTGTGAAGACAGTGACAACACGGACAGTACAGCCAGTCCCCATGGGACCAGATGGACTGCCTGTGGATGCCTCATCGGTCTCCAACAACTATATCCAGACTTTGGGCCGTGATTTTCGCAAGAATGGCAATGGGGGCCCTGGTCCCTATGTAGGGCAGGCAGGCACTGCGACCCTTCCTAGGAACTTCCACTATCCTCCAGATGGATATGGCCGACACTATGAAGATGGTTATCCAGGTGGCAGTGACAACTATGGCAGTTTGTCCCGGGTGACCCGAATTGAGGAGCGGTATAGACCCAGCATGGAAGGCTACCGGGCACCAAGTAGACAAGATGTCTATGGTCCCCAGCCCCAGGTTCGAGTAGGTGGGAGCAGTGTGGATCTACATCGATTTCATCCAGAGCCTTATGGGCTAGAGGATGACCAGCGCAGCATGGGCTATGATGACCTAGATTATGGCATGATGTCCGATTATGGCACTGCTCGTCGGACAGGAACACCTTCGGATCCTCGACGACGCCTCAGGTGGGCAGGAATAGGGGAAGAAAGACTTTCCAGATGGGAAAGGCATAGAGTTATCTTCTAAGCTTTTTGGGGTCAGTGACACCTTTGGATACTGGTTCCTTTCTCTTTTTCATAGAAGGCTCACTGAATGTTGATTTGCTCTCTTTTTCTTTCTTGTTATTAGAGTCATATTTTAGTTATACTAAGAGATTTTTTTGTTTGTTTGCTACTGCTTTTTTGAGATGTCTAAGTGGCTCGGGCTATCTACCAGTCTGGCTAATGTAGTAGAAGATGACCTTGGACTCTTGATCCTCCTTCCTCTACTTGTAAGTCTTTGGATTACAAGTGTGTGTCACCACAGTTGGTGAGAAAGTGATTTGTGGCCAGGTGTGATGACTTAACGCTTGTAATTCTGCTGCTGAGGAGGCTGAGGCATATGATTGCATTTAAGTTTGAGATTGCTTTGGACAATTTACTATATGAACATTTCTGTACCCCCAAAGTGATTAGTGATGGTTACTGGTCTATGTCCTAAAGACAGAAGAGACTTGGTTGCTATGCCATAATTTCTGCCTAAGATTTGGCTCCCTTTTGGTGAAAGAGAAAGGAGCATTACAGAGAGTGTGAGTGTTCACATTCTGGTTCCTGAGAGCTTTTTGGGGGGGGGGGGGTTCGCGACAGGGGT